CAAAAACACGCAAGTGCACACCCAGAAGTCAAAACAGGAAACAAAATTCTATTCGCTGAGAATATCAAACAGATACGAATTCCAAATCCCTACACAACTTGAAAAAATTAGAGCGAACACAGACAATAAAAAAACCCAATGAGAACACAGAAGAATTACCTTGTTCCATGTCGATTTGGACTCCGAATAACACGCCTGAATTCAAGTAAAAACGTTAACTTGGATTCGCCGGCAATAACCAGAGAGATAGAAAGGAACCAACCTTGATAGGGAAAGATAGAGAAAGGAAGTGGATGGTGGAGTTTTGTAGGCGTGAAGATGACGGGATTGGAATTGGAGGGTGGAGCCGAGCTTGGTCGCTAAACGACTGTGTGTTGAGCGCGAGAGGGGCAAGCATTTTTGGGTTAAAGACAAAAAGTGCAGTGATGCTTGGTCGAGTTAGAATGTTTTCGTTTTCTTTGAATTTGCTTTCCTGGCCCTGGATTTTTAAATATTTACACCCAAAAGTCTTTAAAGTTAAAAAGAGGAATTTCAAAAAATCTTTACACATATATATATATATATCAAATTAATTTGTAATCTTATATTTTGTTTCAAATATACTTTAAGTGTTATTTAACAATTATATATTTCATTAAATTTAAGGAAAATTTTAAGGCTTTCGAGAAAATGAAAAATTGAAAGTCTTAATTAGTTGTAACTTTATTTTCTAATGTAGTTTGGTTAATTAAATTTTGTTATATAACTTTTTTAAATTTACATAAAATATTTTTTAATGACCCCTAAAAAACAGTAACTTTTGAAACCCGTACTTGGTAATGGAGGCCGGATACAACCAACTCATAAGTTTATATATTTATCTATAAAATTTTTTACTTTAGTTTATAACTAAATAATAATTGCAAATATGTGTATTTTTCCCAAATGATTAGAGATTTTATTTTCTTGTACTTCAAATAAATTAATTCATGTATTAAATTTTAAATATTTGCACTGATTTATATATTAATTTTTGTTTTTTAATATTTTTTAAAAAATATTAATTAAATATTATTAATACTGTAAAAATAATTTATTTTTTAATTATTTTTAAAAAATATTAAAAATATACCATTAAAAAATAAAAAGTTTATCCATGTTACTAACAACTTCACACTTTGAGGTCTCGCATATGAAACTACTTTATTGATAATCTCTTCATCTTTACCCTATTTGTCGGCCTCACGATCCATTTTAGTTACAACTACCTCTTCTCATCAACTCCATCGAGATTTTTGTCTTTATATATTCGTTGAGATAAACATCAATGTCTACATATGAGAACATGTCGCAAACAAGCACTTCACTCGCATGCAACAACTTTGATTACAAGATCAGTACCTTGAACTCATGTTTTTCTAGTTTGGGCTTGACTGCTTTAATGGTGGACAATAACTGAATTGTATCAACCATCGGTTGACATCAATATTAATATTGAGGAAGACATAGAGGCAGAAGATCTTGGTGGAGTTGATAGGGATGAGATATGTATAGCCAAGTTGGATGAGGTGGTCGGATGATAGGGTAAATGTAGAGAGGTCATCGATTTAGTAGATTTCATTTGCGATATCTCTGAACATCAAGCAGTCAGTGACATCAATTTTTTTTTCTATATTTATAGTTGATTTAAAAAAAAAATAGATATCAAGTGATGTCTGAATTATATATTTATCAAATTAAAAATAATTATATATTTCATTTAATATCATATACTAAATTTACTATCAACGAGTGTCATTTAATAAACATTGACTAATATAAATATTATGATACAAACTAACTTAAATATTTAGAAAGAGTATTGATATTGATTTAGTACAAACTCCTGTGTTAAAAATTAAAATATTATTTAAACTTCAAAAATTATTTAATATCTAATGTAAAAATTTATTAATAAAAAATAACCACATGTTTAACTTATTGTCACGTGTCATTCACTAAACGGAGTTAGCATTATTAGATTAATACTTATATTTTTGTAAGTTAAATGATTAATGAAAATAATTATAAATATATAGACTACCTTAATATTTAGGTCTTAAATATAATGTTGTAAACTTAATAATCAATCAAACATATCTAAATATTAAATTAATTATTATAATATTTTTAAATATTTGAATTTATTATTTTATTTATTTTTTACTGTTTTATTTTTGTTACTTTCAAAAGATATACGTAATAATCTAAAAATATTAATTGTCAATAATGAATTTGTCACGGAACATAGAGTTTGATATATGACTATTTTTAGTTTGTTAAATTTTTATATCAGATGTTTAAATATTTTAAATTTTAATTATTTTTAATATAAAAATAATAATTTAAAAAAAAAAAAAAAAAAAGTAAACAAGCTTTGAAAAATTACGGTACTTCCTCTTGTTGAACAAGAGCCGCCGACACTGATTCCTTGAGCCATGGTTTTACGAACTAAGCTTCGAAGAGATTGAGGTTAACTTATTATTCTTGGATTAAGTGCGAAGAATCAGATACTTACGGCTCTTGTTTGCAGAGCTCCCTCTCCTCTCGTGTTTTCACGATCTCGATGGTGATGATTTCTCACATTCACCAGCGACAGCGGAATATTTTGATGGCCTTGTAGGCCCAATATTGTTATTGAACATGATCCTAGATCCCAATATAAGTAACCATAGCCTACGTACATTGCACCATACCGAAAGTACACTTTATGCAATCTCCGCCGTCCAAATCCATGACAACAAACCACTCAACGCCGTCAACGGGCAGTCTCGAACACCCATTCTCTCTGCACGCATCTAATCGTATGCCGTCGGATCCATAGTTGATACATCAGCATGTGGAATGCATCATGCAGCTGTGGCTTCCCGTTCCATTCCAGGTGCTTGCTCGCCGCCATACACGATTCCCTCAGTTCATCATACAGTCCCTCCATCGCGTGGCTCAGAACGCTTTTAAGCTCTTGAACCCCGCTCGTGGACCCCACGAACACTGCAAGCTTTTGCCACGTCAGGACGTCCATAAGCAGCAGATCCTGTTTCGGACGGTCGGCGATCAGTACCGGCACCCACCCGAAACGCATCGTTTCACCTAAAGGCGAAACATCGCCGGCTTCGTACTCAAACAAGCAGAACCTACTCCCCGTTAGTCGCTCCTCGTAAGTCGACGAATCAGACGGCTCAGATTCTACCAAAATATCAGCATGGCTCGCCAATCTTTTGACCCACGTCGGATCTTTTACCCATCCCGACCGAACATAACCCAAATATTTCAAAAACCCGGTTCCCGCGCGACGCGCGAGGTTAGCCGCGAGTGGAGGAAGGGTTATATCCTTGTGCGGGATAAAGTTACCGGGCCTTGTTGGGAAGCAAGAGACTATAACCGAGTTCTTGTTCAATTCGATGACGTTTCGATCACCGTACCGGCCGAGCCCGGAACACGAGATCAAGAAGTGGTCGGCTCCGAGGGTGCGATTCCAGTAGGGGAAGAGGGCGCGAAGCTCGGCGACAGCACGTGAGATTGATCGCGTCGAAAGGTTGGAGAAGGGGAGGGGGGATGAAGAAGAGGTGGGCTTCCTCTGGATCAAGAGTGATGAAGGAAGAATTGAGGAGGAGAGAGTAGAAGAGTGTCGCCGTTGGGGAGGTGAAATTCAACGTGGGATTCTCCGGCAGGGTGTAAACGAAAATCTTGAAAGTGTTAACCATCTTTTGGTAACCAAGAAAGAGTGTGGTTGGTGATAGATAGAGTGAAGAAGACGAGGAAGAGAAGAGAAAGAAGGTAAAGAAGAAGAGAGCGAAACGACTTATGAGAGACATTTTACTGGGTTTTCTTCTTACAGAAGTAATAACAGAGCGGGAGGTGGAAGAAGACGACGGAGGCCTCTGTTTTGGGGCGGGTTGAGAAAAAGCAAAAGCAAACTCCTGAGATTTATTTCAGAGATTTTGAATTTGACTTGCTTCTACTTTAATCTACCGTTTCTTTCATTGAGAGGAAATATAATACCACGCGAAAACGCGGCCGCATCATGTCAACTTCTCGGCTATTAAATTGAGAATTGAAAATTTAATTTTTGTTCAATTTAATATGGAAAATGACTTCATATAAACTATCATTTCTTCCAAATTTTCAATACAAACTCGTGAGGCCTCCTGCATACTTGAACGGCCACGACTGTTAAAAAGAATTTATCATAGGAATCAACACTAAGGATCCTCTGCAAAAAGCACCAATCTGTCACTGGAGTGATTACCGTATGATTTGACTCTTCAGAGTCCACCGAAAGGGACTACTACATAAGATCATGGACAGTTTAGGTTACAACACAGGCAACTGCCTCATCTTTTCGCAAATCTACGTCTTCTTCTTCCCGTCACTGGAGTTGCTTGCAATGGGTTCGCCATTTCTCTGGCTGGACTCTGCTGCTCCTCATCACTGGTTTCATCCGACCTCCATCTGAGCCCACCATCCATATTTGCGTCCTTAACAGGGGAAGCCTCCTCTTTGAAGCTGCCCACGTAGTTAACGTTATATAGATGGAACAAACGCAACAACAAAAAAAAGAAAAAAACCTTGAATATGTTCAAAAGAACAGCAACAACAGGCTAAAAGGAAAATTAAAAGCAAAAAAGGTACCTCCAAGAGATGTCCATTGCATCATTTGAAAAAACCATGTTTGCAGATCCATCATCTCTTTCTGATTGGACTCTTTTACCAGACGTACTAAACAGCATGTTTTGGACAGAAATTTTGTCCAAAGGACTGTTCCCATTAGTTGCGGTTACCGGATTGGCAGTCCCTCTCCGGGAAGGAGAATTGGCATTTCGGAATTCATCACTGAATCTATTTGGTTCTGCTTCCAGTGAGATTTTATTATGACGTGTGTTCATTAGGTGAGTTCGAGGAAGTGCTCTTGAGGAACTTCTATTGATTTCTTTGAATGGGGTTACATTAGTAGGATTATTGCAATGAAGTCCAGGGATAGAGATGTCACTTAAAGTTCTGCTGACACTAATTTCACTCTTCTGTCCCCTTTCTGCATTTGAAAAAATCCCTTCTTGGCGAATAGATGAGATGGCGTTACCAATGCCAAAGGAAGGGTTGTTAATTGGCCAACGGAGCTTTGTTGGAGTTTCAAAAACCGATGGGTTAGGGGCAGCAATATCATGGTCCTCCCGCAGAAGAAGAGAAGAATCAGCAGATGAAGGACCTGACAGAATGGTTATATTTGGCTCTCCTGCACTGGGAATTTTGGATTTCGCAGCCATTTCAGCTTCTGCATTCTCAGATAGTTGTCCAGTCTTTAACTGTTGCTGCTGCACTGCAGGCAGCAACTCCATGCATTTATCCTGTCAGAAGAATGTATCAGTATAGAAACTTGTAGATGAAAAAATTGTTCTCAATAATTATTTTAATTGAAATATCCGTGTGAACAGAAAACGAGTGCATGGATGTCATAAATCTACCAATAACAAAGTCTAAAGACTCAAACTGCAGCAAGGCTTGTTTATTTGTTAATTATTTGCAAGGAAATCTTAATGGAATGACACACCACATCTCAGATCATTTCTTCAGGTGTCCACTTAAGGCTGCATGCCGTGGGTGCTTGAGCCTAGTTTGTCAGACTTTTACTATAGCATCTTACTGTAGACATTTAAGATTACCAGCATTTAGCAAATTGAAAGGGAAAAAAATCCTAGATATATGGGGAAAAATAACAATTATATTTAATAGTCCTCCCAATATGCCCTTAGTAGATAACAGGTGCAAAAGATTTTATTACATGCATGATTCAGTT